TATATGGTTGACTTGGGATCTAGAAACCCTTCTCACAGAAGAGACTTAAAAAGTTTAATCTCTTTAGCCCATCAATGACTCATATGAGAGCTAAGCCACCTGGAATTACATAAGAAAAGAGAATAATTGTAATAGAAATCTTCAGTTTAGCAGACAAATCTTTTAAAAGATGTAGTGTTTGAAAGCTGAGCTAAGAGACTTTTTTTTTATTTAAAAACCAAACAAACAAAACCAAACACCACCACCCCCCTTAGACTAACTAAGCCTTGGAAAGAATCTAGATAGATAGGCCTGTGGAGTATTCCTTGTGACCTGAAATCTTTAAATCAAGAAGGTGGATTTTTTCCAAAGGAAGTGTTCTAGCTTCACCAGAAATTGTGTAGACATTACTCGATCTAATTGTTACCCGTACTGTGCAAAAGGTCAGGCTGGAGAATCATGGTGCTTTCTTCGGTCTGAAAACCTGTGATGCTATGAAACATCAAAATGGAGGAAAAAAAACCCCAACTTTAAAATGTTTCATAAGAATTCTAGAATATCTGCCATAATATTCATATAGTATGTGGTTAGAGACTGCAATGAATGAATTTTTTAAATAATTTAACAGACGTTTTTAGCTACGTTACAGGGTTTTTTTCCTGTTTGTATTGCTAATTTTTGATGAATAGTCACTAGAATTGCAGTATCTTTTTTCTTTAAGGCTACTCAGCCTCTTTCCCCTGGTAAGGTTCTGTTTCCTTTCTTTATTGGTTTATCAAATCTTTTAAGACTGATGTTTCCTTGCTGGGTGTTCAACTCAGGATAACTTTCTGGAAAGCATATTTCTATATTTGGTAGTGAACATAAACAACATCAAAAGTGAAATTACTAAAGCTAATAAAAACAAATGCTAATGCAGAAAGTAGTTCCAAAATATTAGGCAGATTGGTAGAGATTTACCAGGAGATTTCCTTCTCTTTTATATTATAAACTCAGTGGCAGAACTTTTTTTCTTATGTGTTGATAAAATATGAACATGCTTTTGGACGTTTATAAGTGCTAATCACAAAATAACAAAGGTAATGAACATTCTAAGACATTTAGCTGGCAAGACATAATAATCCCAGTGTCAGATAACCTCTTTTTTCCAGTATGCATATGTAGCTCTTATTAATGAAATTCAAGCCGCACTTAATTACTAGTAACAAAAAATCACTGGCGTTTACCTCCCACGTACAGAGCCACACCTTGCCCTCCAGGAAATCCAGAGAGCTTCCCAAGAACTATCCCTAGCTCTGGCCTAGATTTCAGTCTCTTTTACAGCATTTTACAGTAGAAGCTTGTTAGAGCAAATCCTGTCTGGTGCATAGGGTTTCACTGAGCGAAGAAATTATACTCATCATGAAATCTGGTCTTAAGTTAGACCTTTTATTGCAGTTGCTCTTTTGCTTGGTCTACATGGTTCAGCAAGTTCGGTGCTCTACCCAACACAGACTGATGCCACAGACTATCCCTGTTCCCTACAGTAAGAGACAGAGGACAGAATCAGAAGCACAATTTCAGTAGAAGTTACTGTACAAGATGACAAGGAAGAATTAGCAAAGATAATATTTTTCTTTGTCTACATTTCCAATTTGATCATATTTTCCTCCTGCTTGAGAAAGTATTTTATCTCCTAAGTTTGTGTGGGGTTATTTATTAAAGAGAAGGTACAACATGGTTACCTTTGGCAGGACAGTGTTAGGCTAAAAGGTTCAAGCTCTATTCTTTTATTTCACCAGGAGAGTTTTAAAAGCATCTGAAAAGAAATTACTGCATTTTGTCTGATACCAGGATTGTATCCCTCAGCTGAAAATGCATCTGGTCACAGCTTCTGCAATTCAACTTCAAATGTGCGGTACTAGTGCCAGTATGGGATTCAGGAGACCTGTCCTGTCCTGGGTTTTGTTCCTCACAAATACTTTATGGGTAACCTCTGATAAGTCCCTTTGTGCCTTATTCTTCTACAAAATTATTGTGAAAGCATTTTTGCCTTATAGGGATAAATCAGCGTAACATATTCTAGAAAGAAGAGCATGGGCCCAGCAAATCTCATAGGGAGTGCCCTTCTGGGAAGCAGGGTCACTGAAAAAGAGTTAGAGACTAATAGACCACAATCACTACTTCTCTGCCATGGTGACTAGAATAGGGAATCTAACTCTTGCTTGCCCAATCAAGTAAACATTGAGAAAGAATGGAAAGGTTTATACTTCCTCTGTATCTGGCACTGATGCAAGGCAAATTGGAATGTTGTACATGGGGTTTGTGTCCTAAATTCAAAAAGTGATGAAAAATTAGAGGGATTTCATAGAATAGACATGAGACGTGATTAAAGGATTAGGATAGTCTCCTTCTAATGTGGGGCTCAAGGAGTTCCACCTAGTTAGCTTATCAAAGAGAAATTTAATGGGGGCCCTTTATGTACCTTTCTATGTAGTAAATATCCATTTAAAAATATATGGCTTTAGGTGTAGCAGACAAAGATCCAAGACCTGCAATCTTAATTTATAGTTACCCATAATTAACCCTTGAGAGGGTTACCAAGAATTATGGTAACTTTTCTGTTGATATTTACATCAAGATGTGATGTTTTCCCCTTAAAATGATACAATCTCGTTCAGACAGGAACTAGTTCAGGGAAATCTGTTCTCTATTATACAGGAAGTCAGACTAGAAGATCACACAGGTCACTTCAGGCTCTCTAATCTGTTAATTAAATAGTTTATATACATTCAGTTTAATAGGTTCTGTGATTGTTAATAAACAGTATTTTTAATGTTTCATGTTTGACTGCAGCCTCACCTAATCTCAATTATTTCTTACTGTATGTGGGTGGTGGGACTTTCTCATCCTACCAGCACCTCCACCTTCATCCCTAAGGGTTGCATCATTATCTTGTTACACAACCTGTAGGGCTGATATTGTTGATACGATGCCAACCACAGAATCGTTGAGAGATGGAGTGATGGCGTTGCTGGAGATCCCAACAAAACTGCTCTAGATCCTGCACACAAGTTATTTACCAAGACCAAGTTCTGTTGTATTTTTTTAAAACTTAACTAGAATATACTGCTCAGAGAGTTGTAGTCTCTTTGCAGGTCTCTTTTGAGGATTTTTAGCATGTCATTCTAGATTTTTTTTACAACTAAATGTATAATTTTCCAGGTTTTTTTTTCCAGGCTGAGGCTGATACTTAAAATTTTGTTCTCACTTGTTCATTCAGCTGTATTTTGCTTGGTAGTCCTGGGAACAGACTGCCACCCTGACAAGGATGAACATCACGGCATCCATTGGCCATGCTGCTGTTTTTCCAGGCATCCCTCCAGCTTTGCATGGAGAGCAGTCCATAAGGAAGCAGTCCATCTTTTTGGTGACACAATGATTTGCTTTCCTTTGTGCCCAAGATCTTTCATTCTATTATGCCTGTTGGCAGAAATTAAATTAGGTGATTCTGTTGTTTCAGGTGAGATGTCAGTCTGGTACCCTCACCTACTGGCTGTATTTCCAGGTATTATCCTGCCTTATGGAGAGGCAGGAGCTCCACAACTCTCTGCAGTTCAAAACTCTTTGAAAAGTGCTGTTCCCTTCATGTTTGCATTCATAAATTGTTTCCATTTTTTCTCATTTCAAAAAGCAAGCTGCAGTAGATAGCCCTCCTTACTCTTTTCGCTGTCCAACATTTTGGTGCCAGTTGATCTCCTGTTAGCTTCCTGAACCATCTGGCCTTTAAGTACTTCTTATATTTCCAAGAATGTTTAAAAGTCACTACCTAAAACTTCAGTGTCACTGGATGTTCTAGTGTATTGTCAAACCAAGTTTCCATTTACTGTGATTTGGAAAAGACATTACGTATGTATAGTACTAGCAGAGGACTGTGTGGCAGAAGCCAAACTATGTACTTAGGGTGAAAAGCATTTCAACATTTTTTAAGAAAAGCTTTGTTACTAGGTGAAAGCTTAGCATGAAGCTAGGTTAATCTTGTGACTAATAATATATTAAACTCAGAAAAACTGTTTAGGAGCAGAACTTGCTATAGTATACCGGAAGGGGGCCCATAGAAGGAAGGAAATGAATAGTTTAAGTCTGTTAATTGTAAATACTCTTCATCCCTCCACACATAGGCATACATCTTACTGGTACCACTAGTACATACTGGTACATATCCTAGACCAAATGTGAGAACCATAATACTTCAGGAAGCTAAACATATAAAACTCCCATGACAGAATTAAGTTCTGGGGCAGAACTGGCTAATGAGCAATAAATGATACCAGAAGCATATACACTTAATAAGGATTAAAACCTAGGAAAAACCTTACCCATTATCTGAGAAAGCTGTAGTTTTTGTACACAAAACAAAAGATGGTCCAGTTGTAAAGGACAGGCATACATGGGCCAAATCAAAGCTGCACAGGCAAATGTAGTTCTATATTTCCTCACTTTTGAATGCTTTATTTCACAGTATTAGAGCTCTTCGGCTGTAAGTTTCTCTTTATATATGGTATGATCATAACATCCATATACAAGACATACTGGAATCCTTTTTGGTATTAAGCCATCTGGGACATGGTGCTATGGGAGTTTGGAGTAAAAGGAATCCAAATATCTGTTCTGGTAGAAGTGCTTTCTTTTCAGTACAAGTTGTTGTTGTTTGTTTGGTTTTTTTTAATAAGCCTAAAGAAGGAAAAGACACAAGTGGGACTTATGGTGAAGTAAGCTGGGGCATCTAATTGATGCAGTGGAGGGAAGTGGCTGAGCTGCATGGAAAGCCAGTCATTTGGCAGAGTCTGGGACATCTGCAGTGACAACCTCCTACTGGGAGTATTTAAAACAGCAAATTCCAAGCAGTAACAGGTACAAAACTGTATCAGCAATGAAATAGCATGAATTTTTTTCTTGAAGAACAAAAATATGCGTTCTAATTGAGAACATTGGCAAAAAGTGTCTATGTGTGAAATATTTTAAAGGCTTATGCCTTTGAATGTATTAGGTCCAGTTTTCAAGGCTGTTGAGAATTTGCCAATTGCATCATTGTCAGTTGTAATTATGAGAGATTACTGTCAGAAAAGCTGACTTTCATTTTTTAAGCCAAATCCTGAGAAGATACTGGAAAACCAGGACTTACCCTCAGTATTTCTGATCATCCTTTAACATTTTCTTCTGATGGAGTAATACTGGTAGTGTAATAGCTTTGCTAGAGATCTTTTGAAAACTGGTCTCTCAAGCTTAGAAAATCTGTGTGACGAAAGTAATAGTTATCATTCAAACTTGACGCCAGACTCTAATTGTTACTTCAAACACAACAAGAACATAGCATCAACAGGATTTTTTTTTTTTTTTTAAATCTCTTTGGTACATTGTAATAGCTACACCTACATTCTCTTAGAAGAAACATATTTCTCTTCTGAATATTTTGTACAAATATGTATTTGTACAGTGCATTCATAAATTTGTCCAGAGTTTAGCTCTTCTAGCTTTTTATTCAGTTGATCTTATTGTCATCTTTCATACAATACTTTATTTAAATTACAGTAGACTTACTTCAAAAGCTGTTAGCCCTTGAAATTTCCCTTGCTTAGGGAAGATACCGTGCTCACGGTATACATGGTAAGGGCCATGAAGCTGCTCAGTTTCACTTTGCCTTTACCACAGTGGCTTAACTAATCTAATCAAATTGGTTGTGCTCAATAGCATTATGTTTAAGAGTGTCACTTGATCCCCACAAAGTACTGGGCTCATATACCCAGAGAAGACAGGGACCATGAAATAAAAATTAGTTTCTTATCTGCAATACTGTGTTTCACCTTTATTGCACTATCTATCTAGCTGACAGTCATTTTAGTTGGACTACCACGTTAAGCCCACAAACACAAATAGCATTATTATATGATTTTCAAAGCAGCCAAACCATATGCTTCATTCCTCATTTCTTAGACTGGTTGTATCCATGCTGATTGCTGAAAATGAGAGCAATGGAAACCAAAGGAATTTAGCATTAAATACATAGTGCGTTTTATTGAAAAAAATATTGAAACTGTAAGTTCTGTGTTCCTTTAGGATCCTGAGCAATACTCTCTCTCAAAAAAAAAAAAAACAAAAAAAAAAACCAACACAAAACCCCAACTGTATATTTTGACATGGAATCTAAATGTAGGTCTGACTTGCAAAAAGGACAGATTTTGAAATTTCCCTATAGTTTTCCAGTAGAGGCACAGGCTTCCTTAAGAAGTGTAACATATGGAAAATATGTGGGAACACATATTTTGTAGTCATATTTGTGGCTTTCTTAAAGGTTGTCCATAGACCTCTCTACACCCAGGGATTGAAAATCATTTCCTTATAGTACACAGACATATTAGCATATGGTAAAAATATTTCTTTTAAAGGGACTTTTCTGGAAATGTTTGTAATTTTTTTCTTGATATGACCTGCAATGGAGTGGTGGTGCAGATCCTATGTGAAACATAATTTGAAATTAATGAGGAGGCCTTAGTTAGGGTACACACTCCCATGGAACATTTTCCTGAAACACCTACTACTATTTGGAATTTGGTTTATTTGAAAGGGTCGATGTTGTCAGACATTTTGGTGACCAATAATGAAGGACAGAGGAGGACTTCTTAAAGAGCTGAAATCGGACTATGAGGAGCTGTGTGTTTGTGGCGCAGATGAACTCATCCATCAAGAGTGTAACAGCCTCTGCAGGCTGTACATTATGCACATTATCATACAGTGACTTGATCCTGTGTCTTACTATGCAATCCTGGCAATGGAAGAAGCATAAGGAGTCATCCAAAGGAAAGAGAGGGAAACAAATTCTGCTGTTAGCAGAAGAATGGTACCTCTTTTCTTTTACTGTCCACTTTCCTGTATGGTGCCAGTACCAAAACAAGACCTGCAGAGATGCTTTCCCATGTTGGTTTTTCACAGTATTTAGCAGACAGAGTGCACGCAGGATGTGTTCTTAGTCCTTGAGGGAGATCTTAAATCTCCCTGCAGAAGAAAAGATTCAACACCACTCATCTTCCCCAGTGCTAACAACACAAGGTAGGACTGAGGGGAAACAGCTTCCAGTCTTCATTCTGCCAGAGACAGGCTTTGAAAGAATATCTTAAATTACTGAGATGTAAACACAAATACCTCCAGAAGTGGGGGTAGCACTTCTTCCCGATTTGGGCACTGAAAGGAAAGCCCTGAACAGCAAGAGAGACGGTGTTCACCAAGAGGAGGTTCATCTCTGCCCAGCTCCTGCACAGTCCTGCCTCAGAGAGGTTCTTCTGGCAAAGAAACTGCCCACACATGTGGCTTCTCTGACATCTGTCCTAACAGCCACCCTGGCAGTGCCAGGGACAAGACTGTGGTCAAGCCAAGGGTGTAAAACTGCTGCTGGGGGCATTTCCACCATGTCGCGACTACGCTACCATCCTCTAAACACAGTTTGTGTCATAGGCGACAAAAGGTTCAGATTTTATCCTTCAGGTTTTATGGGTGATTCCCATGTCTTTGAAGTTCTGTTGCCAGTGAAGATGAAGGCAAATTCCCACTGATATTAATGGGGTTAGGATGTGTCCTTGTCTCTATTTTTGCTGTTGTTTCCTTTGTTGCAGTAGACCTATTCCTTTATTAAAGCTTTTGCCTGGGGGAAAAAGAAAAGCCACGTTACTAAATAAATTATGAAATATTTAGATTTGTGAAGCCAACCCCTTATGCCTAGCTCCTCCTCTGATATTAAGATGACACCTTTTATAGAGCTACAGGTTCTATGCTGCCCGTATTCCTCTGTGGGATCCAAGACTGGGAGGTGACAAAACAGCAGGCCACCATGAGCCAAGTGACAGTAAGTAATATCTAGGGGTGCTTGCTTGTTTTGTCTCAGTGCAGTGAGGAACAACTATATTAGACCAGTGATGGTTGATTTAGTGCTGGAGAGGAAGTACGATCACAGATGAAACAGAAGAAAGCATAAACTGGGCAGGTTTCTAAACTAAGCTTGATTTTTACCTGAGGATAATATATATTGTAGATATATATATGTAGAATATATATATTGTAGATATGTCTGTAATAATAATCCCAAGAGCAAAGTGTTAAAGGCATCAGTTTGCTTATTGCTATTTATGTTCTCTTTATGTTCTTTTGTATTTGTATTTGCTTTTTTGCCAGCAGTTCTCTCAATGCCTCAAGAATGAATGAAGCTAGCTTTAGTGTCACGATCCGTAATGAAATGATCCACAGCTGCTCTTGTGAATGTTTTGCATCTCTTGTTTTCATTGTATTTTTGTATTAGCTTTAAATAGC